GAAAAGCAATTTTAAAAAAAAAGGGTGGAAATCTACAAGCCTGCACATCACAGGCACAAAACACTTATAAGTGTGACCATCCACAAAAGCTCTGAGATTTCCCAGAATTTTTCCTGGTATGCTTCTTAGTAAAAATGAATCATAGGAGAGAATCTTTCTTATCAAAACAACAAAAGATCACTGTTCACTTAAAGCCTACTGAGAGCCTGCCATGTCCTAGGCAGTGATGCTGTGAAATTGACACAATCTCTACTGGTCCAGGAGCTTTATTCAACCCAGTAGGAAACACAGAAGGCAGCAGGCAATTCCAGGATAATGTCGTGCCATGACAGTGGCAACCCAAGGGCTATGAGAGCACCAGGAGGGACATGTAACCACGACTTGAGCCTTCTTGAATGTGACGGCTCCCAACTGAGACTTGAAAAATAAGGCATCAACTAAAGGAAGATAGTAAGAGTGCTGAGAATAGGGCAGAGGCCCCAGTTGAAAGGGAAAAGCGTGTGCAAAGGTCTGGAGCAAGAATGTTGAAAGTGTTAAAGACAGTTCAGGTTAACTGGAGTTTGGGACCCTTTCTCTCACCAGGAAGGATAGGGTTATGGTTACAATTCTAAGGCAGACGCGAGCCTATAAGGAAGCAAGGTGGTAAATGCCATGACGACAGCAAGCGTAAGACCCATCCTTCACCAGTCCTTGGGGCACAGAGCAAGCTTCCCTGAGGGTAAAGCCATTCGTTCTGAGAACTGAGGGATACAATAGGAGTTACCAGCCACAGAGGATGAGCTAGGGGAGGCTAGCCAGCTGAGGAGCCAAGTAAGAGAGCAAGGCAATTACAGACGTCAGGGAGAAGGAGTCTCTGCAGTGCATATGAGAGAAAGAACAGACTGGGTTGGGAAAGTAAATAGGGACCAGATTAAACAGGGTCCATGTGCACTGTTAAGGATTTGGGATTTATCTTAAGCCTAGAAAGGCCTTAAATATGGGAGTGACATCACCATCTTTACCTTTAAAAAGATCATTCTGAAAGAAAAAACCCTGCAGACAAATGTTGAACTCTGGTTAATGATACGCATGCTTGGATTATTTAAGAGGAAATATGCTGATGTCTGTGATTTACTTTAAAATGCATGAAAAATAAGAAGGTTGATGGATGACTAGAGGGCTAAGATGGTTGGCTAGAGGAGCGACAAAGAAAATATAGTAAAATGGTAATGGTAAAATCTAAGTGGGGATGTATGGAGGTTCGTTGTAAAATTCTCTCTACTTTCGTTATGCTTGAAATTTTTCATAGTAAAATACTGGGAAATTAGATCATTCTGGTTGCTGCTTGGACAAAACTTTGGGAAAGGGCAAGGGAGCCAGTTAGGAGGTTGTTGCAGGAATTGAGGCAAGCGGTGATCATGGGAAACAGGGATGAAAGAATTAGAGTTCAAGATGTATGCAGAACATTAAATCGATCGCTTTGGTGATGGGATGCACATAGAGGGGAGGAAGTGGTGGGGATAAACAAGATGCCTGTTTTTATTTGACCTTGTTACAAACCAAACAAGGATGGTCCGTAGATTTGGGGGTGAGAAGAAGAACTCACAAGACCCACTAAGAACTCTGAGTCACCAATATCTCCCCCAGTTAGACTCTGACTTCAGATTCTCACCAGGAGATTTCTGGCACTAGTTCTTTGCTTTTTTAGTCTGTTCTCAACACAGCGGGCTTCAGCTCCTTGGGAAGCCCTGTGCGCAGGGGGGAGGGAGAGAGTCACTACTGCCCAGCATGGGCTGCCATCCCAAAGCAGACAGGCTGGGCTGCTTCTTACACCAGCTCTGCCGGCCTCCCCCTCCTCCAGGATGCTTTGAATGTAGCTGTAGCTCTGCTGTCAGCAATGTAAGAGTTATTTTATTTTATTTTATTTTATTTTACTTTTTTATTTTATTTTATTTTATTATTTTTTTTTAAGAAGAAAACTGTTTGGGATCAGCAGCTTCAAATAGCCTCATCCACCGCCAGCCTTGATTTATCAGCTTTCAGTCAGAAAACAGATTTCTCAGCAAGACTCAATAACAATAAGGCACAAATGAGTTTTCTCAAAAGCCGCACACCACCTCCCTGGGGAGATGTCAGCCATTATGTTCCCTTCCTCCCACCCTCCCTGCCACCTGCACTGGCTATAATTGTAGCTCATTTCCTGTAGCTTTGTCCTAAGACATTAGCAAGTCCCTCCTCACCCTCTCCCTTCCATGTGAAAGACAATTACCAAGGACCTGTTTTCTATTTCAGCAATTACTTCTGGACTTCATTTCTATGTGTAATCTTGTCCTGGCCACTTCCACAGCCATGGGAAACTTAGAGTTACACCCTAATTCTCTTACCTTACCAAGCCTTAGAGCTTCCTGAGTACTTGAACAGCATGGGTATATACTGCCTAGGTCCACTTATCCACGGATTTGTTTCAATAAACACAGTCCACCCTTCCCACATGGGGTTTAGCATCCGTGGATTCAACCAACCACGGATGGCAAATAGTATTTTTTTTTTTTAAGATTTCATTGGGAAATTGGGGGAGGGGAACAGCACTGGGGAATCGGGAAAGGGGAACAGACAAGTTGGTGTCCTTTTGTTCTTCAGTCTAGTTGTGGAGGACGTCGCTTCTCTGGCCCATGTTGGTACTGTGATCATTGCGCTCTTCCCGGGTGGGGCAGATCGGTCGCCAGCCTCTGGACGGCTGCTCACGGCAGCTCTTGGCAGCTCACATCGGCTGCCAGCCACTCATGGTAGCTCACAGCAGCCCACTGCAGCAGGGGCTGCAGCCTACGCCTTTGCCGGCAACTCACAGCAGCTCAGCCTCAGGTCGAGCTGTTGTTCACCATCTTAACTGTAGAAGGCACAGCATCACTGGCCTGCATGTGGGATCCGAACCTGGGCCCTGCTGCTCAGAGCTGGCATCCCAAGCCAACTCCTAGCCAACGCACCACTCTGCCAGCCCGCAAATAGTATTTTTGAATTCCCAACTGCAGTCCCAAACACAGATGGAAAACTGTTTTCCATCCACAGTTGGTTGAATCTGAGAATGTGAAAGGCTGATTGTAGTTAAGTTTTGGGGGAGTCAAAAGTTCTCTGTAGATTTTGGACTGGGCCAGGGTGTGTGGTGTCAGCTCCTTTAACTGTTCCCCACCCCCAATGTTGTCTAAGGGTAAACAGTATTTGTGAAGACTTGCATGGGACATGCACCCCTGCTTTACTCCTGCCAAGTGGATGCTTGTGGGAAGACAACCATGTTGCAGGAAAGCCATTACCACCTGGTATCGAACCCTAAAATGGAGACTCCTAACTCTGTTTAGGGCAGGGACATGGGAGGCTGGGCTGGTAACCATCACTGTTCCCAAATAAAGCCAACATATGCTTCCCAACATGCAATCTAATTATGGCATTTGGCTTCTTCTTTTTTAAAGGCTTCACTTGAGACCCAGACAGCACCTACCTTTTCTGTCCTGGAGGTCTCCCTCTCACCTGGTCCTTATGCATCAAATATGAAGTCGTGTTTACCTGAGCTCAGATTCTGGCTCTGCCACTCCCCAGCTGAGCCTCAGTTTTCCCACAGTTAAAATAGGGAGGGCAGGGCTGGCCGAGTGGCGCGATGGTTAAGAACTGGTTTGGGACGCCAGAGGGCCCCGGTTCGGATCCCACATATGAGGGCCAGTGACACTGCCCTCCACAGCTAAGATGCTGAACAACAGCTCAACCTGGAGCTGGGGCTGCCGTGAGTCGCTGGCGATGGCGTAAGCTGCAGCCCCTGCTGCAGTGGGTTGCCATGGGCTACCATGTGTGGCCAGCAGCCAGTGTGAGCGGCCAGCAGCTGCTGTGAGAGGCCGTCCAGAAGCCGGTGACTGATCTGCCTTGTCCGGGAAGAGCGCGATGATGGTGCCAACTTGGGCCAGTGAAGCAACGTCCTCCACAACTAGACTGAAGAACAAAAGGATAGCAACTTGTCTGTTCCCCTTCCCACAATTCCCCAATAAAAATCTTAAAAAAAAAAAAATAGGGAGGGCATTCGCTCTAGGGGTCATTGCAAGGAGCAAGCCAGACCATATACAGTCAAGTCATCATAGGTTCTTGGAAACTGCGACTTTAAGAAAAACAACTTATAATGAAATCAGTTTTACCTCACGCTAATTGATATAAACAAGAGTTAAGTTCCTACAGCATCTCATTAATGTTATAATGAAACAACACTGAATAAAATGTTATTTGATGACCGTTTCACAGACAGCTGTCCCTGCATGCTAAGGGAGGCCGTTACCTAGGTTGCAGAGGGACTTTTTTTGGTTTTGTTTGTTTTGGCTTTGGTCACACATTTAAATTCTTGGGTCCCCAAGGCCCCACTTTATTTCTGCATCTCTGTGCTGCTGGGTCTGCTCTCCAGCAGGAACCTTAGCTCCTGGGGGCTGAGACAGGTCACTGGGATGAACCCAGGTGGCTCATCCCAGGTAATATGCTGATGAAAGGACAGTAGAACTGTGGAACAGGGCAGAGAGAGAGAAAGGCTTCAGAGGATAAAAGGATAGGCATGAAAACCATTAAGACTTAACTCTGTGCTGGGCGCGATGCCAAGTCATCTTCATGAACTTTCTCTTTTGTTTTTTTCCCCCCACCAATCCCATTATAATAGGATAGCCCCCTTTACAGTTAAGAAAACGGACAGAGTTGAAGTCATTTTCTCAAGGGCTTTCAGCTGGCAAGTAGCAGCGCTGAGAGCAGAACTCAGAAGCTGACTAAAGTGCCCAGCATCTCACCCACTATGGGGTCCCTTTCTCTGAAAAAGCAAAACTCTTTCTCAGAAACCCTTTGACTCCAGCCACAGGGAGTCCCTATGCTTGGGTAAGACGGATGCCATTTAACTGGAGCCACCTGGAGTTCTGCATTTGCACCTGGACCTAGTAGGCCCTGGAGTGGGTAATAAATGGGCGGGTAGGAGCAGAGATGTCTCTGCAGCCTCACAATCTCTGAAGGTGGGAGGGAGCGGCTTCTGTTTTGAAAGTAAGTATGAAGAAAACCCTAGAAGGGGGCAGCATCCTTCCTCTTTTACCTGACAAACCTGGTTCTTTAAAGAATTCTCTCTGTGTCTGTGTTTGAAACTGGGGCTGGGGAGAGAGGGCAGCCTTAGATTTGCGCTCTGAAGGTGCTGGGGTCTCCACCCTCCGATGTTTGAGTCTCTAAACTTGGGCTGGGCCAGACGTTTTCAGTTTCACTGTGATGGGTCCACAGCCGGTTCCTGCAAGGCCTGAGGCAGGGGGAGAGCCATGGGCTCCTGGGTAGGAAAAGGCTGAGTAAGCCCTGTTTCCTAAAGTGTTGGGCACTTGAGACAGGGTGCTCTTCTGCCATTTCCCCCCCACTCCCCACTTTGGTCTCTCTTTCTACTCCCTCCTGTTACCAGAACTACCCAGAACAGAGCTGGAAACATAGTGCTTGACAGACATCAAGAGAAAAGCCGGCCTCCTCATTCCTGTAATGAAAATCACCTTTGGATGCGGAGCGCTCTCACATCTGACTCATGCCCAGGCATGCTCCTGGCTCTGAGATGGCAGCAAGGCTGATGGGTGCTTGGCTGCCTGGCCTTGTGCTCGGGCTCGGTTTGAGAGGGGCTGAGGCTGTTGGAGACAGAACTATTGCTCTAGAGCAGCGGTCCTCAACCTGTGGGTCGCAACCCCTTTGGGGGTCGAACGACCCTTTCACAGGGGTCGCCTAAGACCATCGGAAAACAAAAAGATATTTACATTACGATTCATAACAGTAGCAAAATTACAGCTATAGAGTAGCAACGAAAATAATTTTATGGTTGGGGGTCACCACAACATGAGGAACTGTATTAAGGGGTCGCGGCATTAGGAAGGTTGAGAGCCGCTGCTCTAGAGGGAAGGACTCTGGCTAGAAGGAACAGGGAAGGGGACCAGTTGCCTGAGGAGCTGCAGGCCATGCATGGACCCCTCAGAGGGGCTAGAGTTAGGGTTTGGCATTTGAGGGGGTAAGGATTGTATTTGTCACACTACCCAGTTTCACCATGCCTTTTGCCCCATGTAGAATCTGGTTACTGAGCCTTTGCTCAGTTACTCACCCAGGATCAAAGCTCTGAATGTCATGAATTAGAAAGGCTGCCTCTGAGCAGAGAAGGGCCAGGAAAAGCTCCCCCAGGGTAGGTTGGTACTATTCTACGTCAACCTTCACCTTAGTGCTGGTCTCTTCTCTCTGGGCTTTACTTGCTGTGTCTGTACAGTCGTTGGGGGTAGGTGTCAGACCTCCAAGGCTTATTCCACCTGCCCTGACATTTTATGAGGCTGCCTCAGAGAGAGGCCCTCGGAGCAGCCAGGGCATCATGGCCACTTGGGGGAGCCTTGAAGCCCATACTCACTCCTTGGGACAGTGGATGGAGTGGAGCAGGGTGTCCTCTCTAGTACATGAGCAGGTGGTCTCTTCTCTGCAGTCGGCCATGGAATGGTGGTGGCAGCTCCTGTTAGGGCTCGGGACAGTCACGCCCATCTGGGCTGGGGATGAGCTGCTCAATGTCTGCATGAAGGCCAAGCACCACAAGCGAGAGCCCAGCCCGGAAGACCAGCTCTACGAGGAGGTATAGAGGCCAGACCCGGCCCAGGGGTGGGAGGGAGGCTGTTTGGGCAGATCAGGGAAGGGACACAAATGCAAGATGGTTTCTGAAGCTTCATCGACCCTGACTCGTTTGGTTCCTTAGGTTGGGATTTGGGTAGAGCCCACTGGAGGGACACTGTGGCCTTTTGAGACCATAGTTGCTGAGGGATTCAAAGTTCCCATTTCTGAGCTGCCGGGCCACTTGGGGAGCGGGGGCAGGTGATGACCCCAGAGGCCCATTGTTGGTTCAGCATAGATGCAAACGAACCAAGTCCTCCTTCTCTAGCTTTCCTACCAATAGGCCTTGGGATCCATCTGACTTCAGTGACTCCTCCCCAAGCCCCTAAAAGCAATTGACAAGGATGTGAGAGAAAGAACAGAGCTGGCCTCTACCAGGCATTTACTGAGCCCTCCTCAGCTATGGTGCCCTCCCATCAAGGCAACCCCACATTCCCCTGAGTCTCATGGGGTTCCCTGCTGCCCCTCAGGAGATGAAACTCTGGAAGTCATGTTTCTAAGGGACTGTGCAACCTGTGGCAGGGAGGTCAGTGTGCAATTGCCCTTTGGGTGTGAATATTGACAAATTATCAGCATTCCTTCTATACAGGGGGTGCTGGTGTAAAGGCATTGCTCTTGCCCACGTCCTCTTCTAGGAGACATTTTTACTTTTCTGCCCTAGACACTCGCCAAACCCCTCCCTCTTACCCCATAACGCTCCCATGCCTTTTGCTTCTTCCTGCCCCCTCAGTGCATGCCATGGAAGGATAATGCCTGCTGCACAGCCAACACAAGCTGGGAAGCTCACCTGGATGTGTCCCTGCTCTACAGCTTCAGCCTGGTTCACTGTGGGTTGATGATGCCTGACTGTCAGAAGCACTTCATCCAGGCTGTCTGCTTCTACGAGTGCTCCCCGAACCTGGGGCCTTGGATCCAGCAGGTGGTAAGACTGAGCTGGGGAGGCAATACCCTGTTACTAAGAACCTGAGCGCCAGGATAATAGCAGGAACAGGAAATGCTCTCCCTCTGTGGATAAGAGCAGTGTCAGAGGTCGCTGTTGGGGAAAGGAACGGAGAGGAAGCTGCTTCCGGAGAATGGCCCTGGGGCATGGAGGCGAATGGTCAGATGAGAACAATAGCAGGAGAGACTATTTGAGTCCCATCTTCTGTAGAAGCTGTGTAGCCTGAGCCAAACTGTTTAGCCTCATTGTTCTCATTGGTAAAATAATCCTTAGAGACATCATAATAGAATATGTTCATATGATACCTGGTACAAGTACCATTGTAGCTGTTGACACTCTTCAAATTTCTGCTGCTCATTTCTTGTCTCTGGCTATGTGTGTGCCCAGGTGGACCTGAGTGGGCAGGGAGAGCGAATTTTGGATGTACCACTATGCCTGGAGGACTGTGAGCAGTGGTGGGCAGACTGCCACACATCTTACACTTGCCAATCCAACTGGTACGGCAGCTGGGACTGGAGTCGGGGTGAGTGGTACTTGACAGAGCCTGGGGAGAAGCAAGGCCTTGGAGGCCCCCCTCCTGGGGAAAGGTGCCAGCCCCCTCAGCTTCCCCAAGGCAAATGATGGGGGTGTGAGGGTGGGAGCAGTAGGAGGAAAGTTGCCCATGCCTTACTCTTCCACAGGGAAGAGCCGCTGTCCAGCGAGAGCCGCCTGTCACCCTTTTCCCCATTACTTCCCCACCCCGGCTGACCTGTGTGAGAAGATCTGGAGCAACTCATTCAAGGCGAGCCCTGAGCGTAGGAACAGTGGGCGGTGTCTGCAGAAGTGGTTTGAGCCTGCTCAGGGCAACCCCAATGTGGCCGTGGCCCTCCTCTTTGCTAGCCCTGCCCCGTCCTGGGAACTCTCCTATACGCTCATGGCCTTCTCTCTGTTCCTGCTATTCCTTTCCTGAGAGCCGCTTCTTCTCCCACACACATTCCTGTCCCCCAGCTATGGGCCAGGCAGGGCAATGGCAGCCTCCTTCCTCAAACCCTCCCTTAAAAGGAGCTGGGGAGATGGGGTGACATTGAGGCTGGGGGGATGGGGTGACATTGATGGGGATGAGGCTGCAGGATCTGGTGCCTTGCACATTTGTTTCTCAAACTCCTCTGCTGCTCTGCTCTGTCTTTCCCTACCTGGAAGGCCGGGAGTTGCCAAGGGGGTCCACCCGCTCCTGCCTTTAAGGATGGCGGGGCTCTGATGTGCGACTCCAGGCCCTGCTCATCCAGTGCATGCCCACCTCCTTCCCTGACAGCCGATGCTGATAGCCCTGGTCCCCCGTTCCACGATGGTGCCTCCACTCACACAGCAGTTGACCTTTCCTCGCTGTGTGACCCACTCTGTCCTCGCTCTACGGTCAGGGAGTCAAGCTGCACAATGAGGGAGCACGTTTGCCTGTTGCACTGAAGTCTCAAATTTGGTTGTTACTCTCCTACTAATGATTAACTTCTTAACACACACCCGCTCCTCTTGTTACATCCTTACAACACCTCTCTGGTAGAAGTGCTTTCAGCATCCCCCTTTTTTCAGTAAGTGAAACACTGTACAAAAGACCCCAAATCAGGATAAGGATGGGGCCACCCAAACCTTTGGCTCAATTTTGGGTACCAAGATTGAAGCAGCTGCCTCCACTACTTTCAGCTTTCCCTGTTACAGATTGGGCACATGAGTTCCAAAACCAACAAAGAGCATCCTTCCAAGTGAGGTGCTCAGAGTTTGGAGTTGGGGACAGAAGAAAGCAGCAGTGGCCACAAAGCACTTCACTGCATCTGCAAGGACAAGGGGTGGGGGCTCTGGGAAGGCCTCACGAAGGGGGTGAGGCTTGAGCGCTGCTGAAGAAGGATCATTTTATTGAGAACAAAGAGAATGCTACACTAAGCCAGCTGAGTTTCCCAAGGCATGAACTATATGAAGCAGGACCTTTAATTGCTCTTAAGTTAATAAATGTGGCTTTAATATACATACATAATCTAAAATACATATAGGTAAAATTTCTTAAGCATCAAGAACTGTATGAAGGATCTGAGCGCGTGTGTTTGGTAATAGAGCTGAGAGTTTAATGAGTCTATTTTAGTATTCTTAGGTATAAAAATAAAAAAATAGTCAAAGTATTATAGGACTAAAATTGAGACAGACAAAACAGGACTAGCTCTGGGAGCCCTAATAACGGTGACTATTGATCACTTTCTCTGTGCCTGGGGCTCTGCCAAGCTCCTAACACGTGTTAGCTCATTGGAGCCTCACAAAAGCCTTAAGGGGTACTCTTGTCTCCCCATTTTAAAAATTAGGACAGCATAAGTTGGTTTGAAGCCAGTTAAGTCTGACCCATGGTCCCAGCTCATAAGGTTTACACTGAACATTCTGGTAAGTCATTGTTTGGGGCTGAAGTGATGTGGAGAGTGGATGGACAGCAGGCTGGCTCATGGCTTGTCATTGTCAAGGAAGATAGGCTGAGCTCTCTCCCAGTTTGTGGTTGGCAGGAGTGATGTATTTTAAGTAATGGAGTGAAATGGTCAGGTTTGCAGTTAAATTATTTTTTTAATCAGAGTGATCCATGTATGTGGCTAAAACACATAGGTCAAAATATCTCTAACACAGAGCAAGAGGCCCCACCAGCCAGCCCCTGGGCCCCAGGGTCCCGCCCCAGAGGCACCCGTTTCTGCATTTCAAAAAGATGAAAAAGTTGCAAAATGTGGCTTATCTTTCCTGTCGCACATTCAGATTATTTTTTTCCTCTCTCTGTTCTGAATTTCTCAACTTAATCTTCCAATCTTTTTAATTTTGGCAACCCACTTTTAATTTCCAGGAGACACTTTATTTTTTATTCCCTTGTTCTTCACAGCCTGCTGTTTTTGGTTTTATGGATGTAATATCTTTGCAAATCTCATTGAAGATGTAATTAGAATTTTTTTAAAGCTTGTTTTTAGTCCCTGAATGACCTGTTTCCTCCAAGGTCAACCTGTTTTGTTTTTCTTTATGCTACTGGTTTTCTCTGTCTCTGGTGACTTGTGCTGAGCGCCCATATTTAAGAGTGAGGACTGGGTTGATTTTTCCAGCCAGCTGCTATATAGGGATCTTCCACGGCTGTATATGTGGGTTTTCTCTCCCCTGACTAGCAAAGCTGATGAAGAGCTCTGGGTATACGTGGAGGGCTTGTGGACTACAAGACTTTGGAGTGTGGAAATAAATGAAGACCCCAACTAAATGAGAACAAGCAAAGTCTATTTATTCAGAGAGTCCCTAACAAGGGAGTCAGCCACCACTACTTGTGTTTTGGCAGAGACTCAAAAGTGGCAGAGTTGGAGGGAAGCTTTATTTATTTTTAGGCTGTTGGCACTGGGAAGCTATAGGTGGGCTAACTGGAAGCGAGGCATCCTAAGTAAGGTACATATTTGGCTTTCTCTGGTTGGTCCTCAGTTGGAAGCAGGGATTAAAATTTAGGGAAGCTGCAGTTATTAATCAAGTCCTAGATGTTTGGGGCTAATTGTTAGAGGCGTTATTGTTTGGCTTCCTGGGCTGATCTAACTTCCTATAAGTCTGACTTATAGATAGTAGGCTGGCTTTCTGGATTGATTACTACAGATGATGGGTTAAAACTCTATTTGATGTACATCTTGCCACTGACCATTTGTATATACAGTCTCTCAAGACGGAGTTGGCAAGTGCTATATTGAAGTGCAGACCTCTCAGACGCTAGAATAAGAATGGTTCTCTCTGGGGTGCCAACATCATGTATTTTACCACATGTGAAACTTCAGCACTATCCAGAATTTTAATTTTTTATCAAAGACCTCTTCTAAGCTCCCCAACCCCAGGGTAAAAGTTGGGTTGTCTGAGCTCTAAATTTGGGCAGAGGACATGGGGGCAAGCATGTGTAGACCTTTTTCTGTCTGGTCTAACTTCCTATAAGTCTGACTTATAGATAGTAGGCAGCTTTCTGGGCTGATTACTACAGATAATGGGTTAGAACTCTATTTTATACACATCTGGCCATTGTCCATTTGAATACGCAGTCTCTCAAGACTGAGTTGCCTGCCAACTCTGAGCCCGGAACCACTCAGAGGTTCTGTCCAGCAGGTCAGCACCTCTTCCCACTGCAGCTGCCTCCTCCACTTCCTCTGGCCACCTCTGTTCTCTTTGGTGTGCTTTTATAGGCCTTCCATCTTCTACGCATTTATTGAAATCTCTTGTTCACTGGTGGTTTCTTTCACATCCTTTTAGTAAAGGAAGACTTAGAAATAAACATTTTAGTGGAATCTCAGTTATGATATCTCTGTAACTAGCAGTTGCAGATTAAAAAAGAAAAATCTCATTGTTTGAAGGGTAGATGAAAAAGGGACCAAACTGAAGACAGAAAGGCTGAGGACTATGTGTAGGATGAATTTGCAGGAGGGGAATGAAATGGAAATCCAGGTGATAGAAACCTAATTGTGAGTAATGCTCTAGGAGGAATTAAGTCAGGCTATAGGAGAGACAGTGGACTAGAAAGGAGGCAGAGTCAGGAACTGTTAGGAAGATGGAACCCATAAAAATGTGGACCATACTTTCGTATACAGTGCCACAAATACAGTAAGTCTTCATTTAACATCATCGATGGGTTTTAGAAACTGCCTTGAAGCAAAACGATATATAACAAAACCAATTTCACCATAGGCTAATTGATATACACGTAAATAGGAGTTAAGTTCCTATGCTATACTTCTGGTCATGAAGACCAAAAACACTTATAATATTAAGTGCTGAAAAAAATGTGAGCTATGCATACATTTAAGAAGGGTTGATATAAAGCCAAGTATGATCATTATTTTCCAACCCCTTATTCCAGTTCAGGTTGTGGATGGTCAGAGCCTGTCCCAGCAGCTCAGGGTGCAAGGTGGGACCCACCCTGGACAGGCCGCCCTTCCATCGCAGTGCACACTCACACTCACACTCACTCAGACTGGGACAATGTAGACGCGCCAGTTCACCTTACAGGCTCATCTTTGGGATGTGGGAGGAAACCGGAGTCCCCGGAGAAAACCCACCCAGACACGGAGAGAACTTGCAAACTCCACACAGACAGTGGCCCTGGCGGAAATTGATTCTTTTTTTCTCATTATTGTTATAATGAAACATTGAACAAAACAACATTATTTGAAGACCTGCTATAGGCATAAGATAAAGCGTAGGGGAGAGAGCACTATTATGAAGGAAACAACCTTGGATAGCTCAACTCTGATGCTCCCGTTTGTAAGAGGTACTCCCCCAGCCTACATTATACCATATCGTGGGTGGGAGAAAAGATGGCAGAGAGTATTCCCTCTACTGAATGCAACCCAGCACTTTTCCACTATGTGAACATCAAACCCTATTCAAGTCCTTCCTCAGAGAATGCTGGAAGTCCTGGTAGCAGGTGAAAAACAAAAACAAAATGGCTCTTGTATATATCCCCTGCTTTCTGACCCCTTTCTGAGTCACCTTCCTCAGTAAGACCCCTTATCTGAGGGCAGAAGCCCCTGCAGCCTGACATCCATGCGGAGGAATCCTGTTCCCAGACCACCTCTGCTGTCTGAAAAAGGAGTGCTGAGTGCTGAGTGCCTTCCCATTCCTTCTTCACCATGTCCCTGCCCACTTTCCCCGCCCCATCCCCACTGACCCCTTCCACAGTGAAGACTGCTTCGTTAGGTACTTCCCACTGTGCCATCGCTTTTATTGTGGGTGGACCCAGTTTGGGAGATTATTCTGGTGTCCAGGACTGGTGTCTTTCACTTTGGACCATATTCCCCAGCTCCAGCCCTTGAGAGAGCTTGAGTATACAGTCTCTTCTTGCATCCCAAGGGGGCAGTATTCCTGCCAACAAAACCAATCACCCATTTTTTGTTTTCCATCCTTTCCTCTGTCATGCTCACATCCATCCTCAGATTTACCCTTCTGGAGAATCAGAAACCACTTTTAGTAGTGCTTTTAACACAAATGAACCAAATAGAAAAATCTGGAGGAAGAGAGAGGACCTCCCA